TAGTTACAGTTTTTGCTCTATAAATTAATTAAGATTACCGTGTGTATTTGAGCTGGAAATAGCAATCAGCTGTGCACGTTTCCCGGCGAACAAGTTCAAACATGCACAATAATATAACGGGATGAATTCTGACGCAGTCGTCAGTAAAATATAATACAGAATACTATTATTTAACCCAAAGAAATATATCCTAGCATTGTGTAATTTTATTTACAGTTTTTATGTAAAATATACTTCGTTTCGATCCGTAAGTAGACACAATATATATGACAATGAATTCTTTGAGTAATGTGGACCAAAGTTATAATTATTGGTAACTGCCAGTTGTCTGTGGTCTGTGTTTGCCGCGATTAGGACCCATCGCGGGGGATCGACTTATGCACGAAACATAACATTTTGACACTGATTTTAAGGGTCAAGTTTGGGGGTCGTCTTATAGACGGTCATATATGGTAGACAACAAAGAGCAATCAATCAACATATTGGTGGTTAATCCTTTGATGGAAGGACATTGTTTTTTTACACAGGCACTTTACGACAGTATTCAGTGTAAGTTACCTTTTGACAAATCTGCTGTGCAAGTTAAATGTTATTAATCAATCAGCATGTTATCAGTCAATCCTTTGAACGATACTTGTTTTTTTAACTCAGCTGATAATTACTCTTGCTGCATTTCCATGCACATATTACATAACATGTAATACATTTGCCACATCAGACCTTTATTTATCATGTTGAGTATATACTCCAGACATGAGAAATGCTACATGGAAACCTTTGTTGGGTAGTCTGAGTGGTGCTACCAGACTACCACTAATTATACTTGTTATAAAATCATTAACTGACCACCCAGTGAATGATGACATATAACGTGTAGGTTTATGTCATGAAACATTGGCTACAGCAAGGGAGTATTAGTTGCTGTACTGCATGCAAATTTAATTTCCTAAAAAACTAATGGGTCAACGCTGTTTTAAGGATACGAACAGAACTTCATTGTTGCATAAGAAATACATATAAGCATTTGCTGTACACTAAAAAGTTAAAAACTGTATACTGGTATTTACCTAAGTAAATTTTCAGAATTTTCCAGCAATGGCAAAGTGAGGTTTGATTTAGTTGACAGATTCAAATAAATCAAATGTGTTTTTAATATCATAGGTCAATAGACATCACATTCAAGATTGTTATATGACATGATTATATATTGAGGTGAAAACACAAAAACAGGATCAAATAGGATCAGTCATCATACCATCCAGAAAATCAAAACAGAAAAGCATACACTGCTGGAATACTTTATTACAATCTCACAATAATTAGTGCTGGAATGATACATCAAACTATCGATAGATTGCAATTGTTAAACTTGAGTCTCTGATAGCAATTACGATGGTTGAAACGAAAAACTATCGATGCATCGATAATATGTGTGACTATCGATACTTTAGTAATTGACTTCCGCTGATAAACTCGCAGAGCAAAATACAAGAAGTACCAGATTCGTTCACAGTTATCTGCCCCTGTTACTTCTTAAACTAACATGGCAGCAAACAGCGCTTGTGTTTGAAATTGTGAATAACAATAGGTTTAAGTTTTAACTGTTTACTTGATCTGGGTGTCTTGTCAGTTAAAAGAGACTGAAACTACTTCAACTTGTATTTATTTTATACAAACTATACATTCATTTGGGAAATGACTTCAAATGAGACAATTTAAGGAGAAAAAAACCATATTGCAATGCAAAAGTTGGTCTCAATAGACTATTGCTATCGAAGTAGTTGTTTCCCCCCTCAATAGTCACCACTACAAATAATACCAGGGGTAAGTTCAAATAACGGCTTCAACGCCAACAACAACCAACACCTAAAACAACATATCAGTAGACAACCTGAAACGTCAACGGTGAAACTTCTAAAGCGGATACATCCATGTATAAGAAAATCCGAAAAAGTCTACCCAGCTGGGATACTTTACTACAATCAGATAATAACTGCTGGGGGCATTTTCAAATAACGGCATCTGATGTGAAGCCACCCTTCGTAATGTCACACTGTTTAGGTTGAAGAAACTGTGCCAATGTGGACCGTTACCCAGTCCCCATGTACGTCACGGTCGAGGGAGGGGCGGTGGGGTAGCCTAGGGGTTACAGCATTTGCTTTCGTCATGCTGAAGACCGGGTTCGATTCTCCACATGGGTACAATGTGTGAAGCTCAATTCTTGTGTCCCCCGCTGTGATATTGCTGGAATATTGCTAAAAGTGATGTAAAACCAAACTCAGTCAGTCAGTGTTGTCTCTTAGATTTTGTTATGACCATCAAGTCTGTTCAGTTTCATTTGTCCTGGACCCATATATAGTTTACGTACGCCGAGATGAACCAAATTTTGAGGATAAAAAAAGTTGTCCGTGAAAGGAGTCGGCTTAAGTTATCTAAAGTTTACAAATTCATCAAACTAATTTTTCTGGTGGTAAAAAACCCGACAATGTATCGTTTTGTGTGAACGGACAAGAGAAAAAGACTTGTCGGATAAAGACGTCAAATGTTGATTTAAAAACATTGAAACCTTTTAATGGTAATGTTATGGTATGTATGCCATTGTTGAATTCCCTTGAGATGCTCTGAATTTTCACATGGTTATCAGCATTCAGTTAACGCTTCAACTTCATTGTCTTGTGATTGTACTGATTTTTTCAAGGTAGTTCCTGTGTCTCTTTGTGAAATGTGAAACATACTTGCCAATGCCCTGCAACTGGGGCTTGAAACGCAAAACACTGTCATCAGGGTATATATTTTCACTGACAGGGTTTAAGCTCTATATAAAAGGATGATATAGTTCTAAGTGACAATATATACCATGTATACATTGCAGTTTTCACGCGAATAAGCGTCTCAAACAAATCCGTCAGATTAGCCCGACGGTCCGTGGAAGTCTACAACCCGACTGTATATTTCACAATGACCTTGATTGAAGTTGTCATATGTAGCACGTCACACTTGTTTGCTGTTTATAAATTTTCGCTTTTTTAATAATTTCAATGCCAGTTATAAGAAATGTTAAATCTGAAATGTGTTTTAATTTTATTCTATGGGTCCTGTGAATTTTCAGTGGGTCAGACAGACATCTGAAACTCACAGGACCCAATGTTATGTTACTTTGAAACACCATTCATGAACACTGCCTTGGTGCCAGTTTTATTTATGTAGCAAGCCCCCTGTGTGTCAACGTTCATTTTCTTCAAACATTTTTGGAAGAGATACTGTTTACTGAGACAAAAATGCATTTGGAACGGGCATGGACATTATAGTAAAACAATGAAGGTCAATGATCATGATCGATATTTGTTACTTTAGATAAGAAAAAAAGGTACACATGCATTATACCAGATACCTGCCTGCCATAGTTAATTAGGTCACGTGATGCGAGCGCGGAAAGGTGAAAAAAATAAAATAACTGAGACGAAAATAACCCTAACCCTAACTTAACCCGGTGTTGTCCCACGAGGGCCTAAAATTATTCAATTAGGTAGGTACAGTTCATTAGGCTATGTGGGACTTCATGCCTCACTGGTTTTATGGGATTACGATGGATTATTGCTGGACTGGTCCATTATTGACCACAGAAGGGTGAATCATAAGAAACAACAAAATCAAATATGATTGTGAAATGTTTATTTTAACAGTGATTTATCATTTCTGTATTACTGGTTTTATTGGATAAGGTGGACTGACCACAGGAATCATAACAACATATTATTAGGTATTATGTTATCACCACAAAATCTGTATTATTTAGCATATTATCACAGGTGACAAAGTGATATGTTTATGTTTATTGTTATTCACTGTTCCCAAACACCAAGTAAAGTGGGATACTGAGTCTGTGTAGTACAGGACAATGATGGTGCCAGTGTTTAGCCTGGTCTTGGCTCACAGCAAGCCCTGGTCAACTTGCTACATAGCGGCGTCTCCTTGCTGGTTCATGTGTATGACCTCTCTTTTGTCAGTCTCACTTCGGTCCTGGACTGCTCACGCTTGATCTGAGCTTCATAAAGTCAAATATGTCTAATCTATAGCAAGTTTCAGCCTTCTCATGTTGGTTGGAGAAGGAAACTGATTAATATCCACTTCATGTAAATACTCCTCCAGCAATAATAGATCTAATCTTATTAAGATTAACAGTAGGTAAGTGCTTTCATCTATCAAACCTTAATGTTTTCACAGTAGACAAGTCTCATTACTAAATAAACTAACCTAACATAGTGACCCCGTCCACTGATCAGCCTCTCCAACTCTTGTCTCACGCCCCCAAATACCTTATTAATTATGTCATGTGGGCAAACTGTAATTAGGCCTTGTGGGATTTATTAGGTGTGAATTTTAGGCCTCAAGGACTGTCACCCTAACCCTAACCCTGCTAGGTATCCGGTATAATACATTCTAGCCGGAACACCCCCAAAAAAAACAAAAACAAACAAACAACAACCCCCAAAAAACGGGCAAAAAACACACAAAACAACAAAACAAACAACAACCCAAAACAAAAACAGAACTTAAAACTTGAATAAGTACCTTTGGCAACTACACAAATACCAAATGTTATTTCAGTTTAAACAAAAGTGGCCTAGTTATGACTACAACAGATTTTTCAATATGGCTGCTCATATTTAGTTTCCGTGTTCAGTTTCATGTCCTGAGAAAGGAGGTCGGTGGAAATTAGATCGGTAATATTTCATTATTGCAAATATAGAAACTAGAATCTGTATGCCGAGTTTCATTTCCTGAAAAGGACACCAGAAATGGGATTCAAATGTTGTTCGTTCGTTGGGAGGCGACCCTGGGCGGGGTTGTCTTCAACCGACATTACAGAACATTTCAAAGTTTTCTGTCTGCCACTTCTCAGTCTCAGCTCGGTCACTAGCCAATAATCTTCGCCATACAGATTCCAAATCCATTGTAAACATTACCAGTTGATTACACACGTTAGTGAACCTACTCACGGTACAAGACTTCACGAAATACGTTGAAAATCTTCAGGATGTGTCGAAGTGCTGTTGTCGTCTGTTGCTAAGGGCGGTTGACAGCGACACTCCCGGCCCAAAGGTCGTCTGCCATCCTACTTTCACTTTCGATTTCAATGTCTGGAAGATCTAACGCAAAAAACGAGTTTACTTCCCGTCTCAAGTCTAATCCCATCACATGGATGCCTCGAGTTTTTATCGCCATATTCAATATTGATTTACAGGCTCGCTTATTACCAGGGATAATCTACAACTATTTACAGAAACCTTGAAAATGGAAATACCAGAGCTATTTATAGCCACGTCCCGCAGTGTATGTAAATAATGAATTCCATTGGTTATTTTAACACGTCATCATTCCATTCGTAACTACTCGGGTCATTCCGGCAGGTAGGTCACGGAAAGAGGCGAGTAGTTACGAATGGCCATCATTCGTGACCAACTCGTGTTATTCCGGTTCCATTCGTGACCAACTCGTGGTATAGTGTTATTCCGAAAAGCCGAATAAAATGGAATAGCGTATATCTTCTTGAACGTCATTGTATTTTGCTGGTTTTGTCGTCACCTTGGACCAGACCTTATATTGCGCAGAGACAAGCCAATACTTCAAAAGGACTTTCCTGGCATGTCGAAAAACAAAGTAACATGATTATTGGACGAAAATCGATTTTTATATAATAACGCGCCATTTCTTAAAACCTACATCGGTGCGTGTTTCATGCTGAGGTTATATTGTTTATTGTTTATAGCAGGGAGACTATATATGTTGTAGATTATCCCTGTTTAGAGCAGGAGACTATATATATGTTGTAGATTATCCATGTTTAGAGAGCAGGAGACTATATATGTTGTAGATTATCCCTGTTTAGAGCAGGGGAGACTATATATATGTTGTAGATTATCCTGTTTAGAGCAGGGAGACTATATGTTGTAGATTATCCCTGTTTTAGAACAGGAGACTATATATGTTGTAGATTATCCTGTTTAGAGCAGGAGACTATATATGTTGTAGATTATCCCTGTTTGAGACTATATATGTTGTAGATTATCCCTGTTTGAGACTATATATGTTGTAGATTATCCCTGTTTAGAGCAGGAGACTATATATGTTGTAGATTATCCTGTTCAGAGCCAGTATTCCAGCTATGGGCGGCAGCCTGTAAATAATCGAGTCTGGACCAGACGATCCAGTGATTAATAGCACAATTTGAAATAGATGACATTCATGTGGGCTTGCCCACTATTCGTTCCCGCTAGGCTTATGGAAAGCATTCGATAGCTGAATGTATTGGTATAGTTTAACGCCGCACTCAGCAATTTTCCAGTTCTATGGCGGCGGTCTGGAAATAATCGAGTCTGGACCACACAATCCAGTGATCAACAGTATGAACATCTACGCATTAGGGATCCGACGACATGTGCCAACCAAGTCAATGCTCCTTCGACCACCTCCAGCCGAACCCGTAATGATCTGGGTTAGGATTGGTCTTCGCTCCATGCTTGTCGTAAGAGGCGATTAATACAACGGGATCGGGTGCGCCTCAGGAAATATGGAATTTACAAGGGTCTTACAGTCCCTTAAACCACCAGGGAAAGTAATGTCTATTGTTCTTTGAAGTGTTTTATTAGCATAACTGATTAACTGACCTAGGGCAATTATTTCTATTTAAAAACACACATAAAATTGTACTTATTTTGATAATCTTCATCATGCCTAGTACTTTACACGCGTAGTAAATAAGTATGCCCTCGTGGCGTAAGCCATTTAATCACCCTCACTACGGTAGTTATTTAAATAACTACCTTGTAAGGGTGATTAACCTATACGTACACCCTCTCAAAACACTGTGTAACTAATAGTAGGACTAGCCAGCATAACTCGGGTTGACAAACGAAAGGCCACCCTCCATGCACATGTCTAGGCGGTGATGCGTGGCATTGCGCATAGGACCCAGGTCACATTGTTAAGCAACCTTTTTCACGGAGAGTCCTTGGATGGGTGACCGTGTCTGGAGTTTCTACGACTTCAGCCCTGCCCCACAACGAAGCACATATGACACGTGTTGCCTCACCTTGGGCACGTCTGTTTGTCAAAATTGCCTCAGTTCAACCAGCAGTTATTGGGTACCCGGTGGGATAAGTCATATGACTGTTAACTTTGTAGGGCCTCACATCTCGGGTTATCCGAGGAAATAATGTCCGTTGTGCTGTACGTTAGAGCCAGAGCATGCTTCCAGTCGGCGGACAAGCCGTCTTATTATTATTATAATATATGTCCTTCAAGATCAGATAACTTTCGGGGTATGTTGATGGCTTTGTCTTCCTTCAGTTCATGCCGGTAATCAACGGACTGCTCAATACCACATTCGTCACCACTCGCCCCTTTCCGTAACCCGCTATTCGGCTTGTCCCGGAATAACACGAGTTGGTCACGAATGCTCAATGCTACTAAATAAATCCAGAGTCGGTTGTAAACCATCTCAGAACTCAAGTTATTTATTGCAAACAAACAATTGTAACAATGTAAGTAATATTTTTTATCACCAGAATGGCTTGGTTGCTCTGTAAAAGTAATACCCAAACATGCAACTGTCTTCATAATTTAATCATCGCGATTTTTTGTTTCGGGGTGGTGGGGTAGCCCTATGGTTAAAGCGTT